ACATGAAACATGGATTGGAGGATGTGAAGGTGAAAGCCAAGTGGCCTGTTCCATGGGAAAGGTAGATGTGACATTGACTAGGATGACCATAATGGAAATGGAGAAAAGTAGATAGAACCAATGGGTATTTTAAAGGTTGATATGGTTGAACTTTATGTTGAATTAAAATGGGGAGAAAAGAAGAAATGACTCATACATTCTTGGCATTAGCAACTTGGTGCTGTTGGTTGTCATTGTGCTGGCAATACTAGAGAAAGAGAAGGGTCAGGAAAGATCAGTAGCCTAACTTGGGGGGCAGGGGAGTCTAATTTTGGAACCCTTCTGTTTGAATTACATATATGAGAACCAAGAAAAAATATAAAGCCAACACTTGGATAGATGTTCCCTGAGCTCAAAAAAGAGGTCTCAGCTTAAGACGTTGATTTGGGAGTTGTATGCTTTGGAGTGCTTTCTACTAGAAGAACGAGAATCTGACTCAAAGTGATTTTTAAGATAGGGGGCTTTATTTTCCAGTCAGTTCACCTGACTGGAAGTCTAAAGGTCAGGTGGGTTTCATATGCAACTCACCCAGGGAACCTCCTCTGCTCTGGGTCCCATCTGTCACTCACCTCTCCCCATTGCAGTTGATTTATCCCCACGACCGGCTTTGCCAGTTTTGAAACGATTACCACAGCAATTTAGGCCAGAGACTCCCTTGCTTATGCCTATGGAATTAAGACCTCATTTTCCACTCTTTGGTCTTAAAAGCAAGGGGAAGTTTTTCTAGAAGCCTCCTCAAGCCTCTCCAATTTGTCTTGGTCTGCCAGTCTGGGTAGCAGTCCCTGACACAGGTTAACCATATTGACTTAAGCTCATCATTACCTCCAAAAATGAAGTTAATCCCATCCTTTATGCTACACCAGTGGTTCTCAACCTGTGGGTCGCGACCCCTTTGGGGGTTGAACGACCCTTTCACAGGAGTTGCCCGATTCATAATAGTAGCAAAATTACAGTTATGAAGTAGCAACAAAAATAATTTTATGGTTTGGGGGGTCACCACAACATGAGGAACTGTATTAAAGGGTCGCAGCATTAGGGGGGGTGAGAACCACTTCCTACACCATAGGGATAGAGTGGCTACAGATAACTGGATATAACACTTGCCTGGATATCTTGGTTCTGGCCTCAAGAATAGGAACCAAAGTACAAAGATGGGTGATGAAGGAATATTTGTATTCTATACAATTGGCAGCCTTTGCTTACTGACCTAAAATTTGAAGGCGAGGGGTTAAGTTATGTGGAGCTTCATCAGTTTCCTCCACTCTGCTGCTCTGTTTCACAACAGCCCCTAATGTATTCATTGCTTGAATATTTATAGATGTTTTGTATTTTGCTGCATTCTGATAATAGTACCAGTATGGTTGGTTGACAAATTTTAATACAAGTAAATAAAATATATCCATTTTTAAAAGAGACAATCTCCACTATCTCAACATAGGAAGAAATTTCTTTTAAAGCACTAACCAAAGAAGAGGAAAAGATTGACTTTAATTCAAAATCATCTGTTCTTCAAAAGTACAAAGCCACACACACACACACACACACACACACACACACACACACACGAAAAGGCAAGCTACGAATGTACGGTTAAGATACTTCAGCATATAAGCAACAGTACTATTCAACAGAATTTGCCATGATAATGAAAATATTATATAATTCTGTATTGTCCAGTAAGGCAGCCACATGTGGTTATTGAGCACTTGAAATGTGAACTAAATTTTATTTTTTACTTTATATTATTTAAATTGAAAAGGCTGCCTGAGGCAAGTGGCTACCCTATTAAACTGAATATTTCAACAAATGGCTGCAGTACTGGAAGCACCAATTGTCAGTGCCAAAAAATTTGGAAGACAGCTACCTGACCAACTGACTAAAAGAGGTCCATATTTGTGCTCATTAAAAAAAAAAAAGCCAATCCATTGTGGGATATAAAAAGACTTTTCCCCAGCTTTGTCACCCCCAAAGAGATGCCAAACCTAAGAGGCTGTTTGCCAGTATATGGTGGGAAGTCAAATGATTAGAGATATTCTCCCTGAATGCATTCAGCCATCAGAGGAATCAGACTACTGTCTGGTCCACTGTAGGTGGGGCTCACATCCTATTGATAGGAGTGATCATTTCCCTGGGGAGCTTAGAACAGGTCAAACCTGCTCAGTGACATCCAAAGTTAGGCTGCCATCCTGAATCTAGGATCCACCCATCTTGTCACATGCATACCCCCATCCCCCACCCTTCCTATTGTGTGTATACCCTTAGATTTACCCCTCTCATTACTGTAATACATATAGTACAACTCCTTTCAGTGACGTATGTCTTTATCTGTAATCAGGGGGCTTGCACGGCCCCAAAAGATATATAAGCCTTGATTAGAAACAAATTGCTCATTCTCCTGCCATTCCCACCTTTCACATCCGCATGTGGACCACCAAACGAGGCTGAGGTAAGCATGCTACCATGCAATGTGTCTGACTCCTTCAGTTTACTTTCTTTCTTATCTCTCTTATTCTCTATGACTTTACTGTAATCTTTATATATTTTCGCTGTACAATTGCTCCTGCCGGGTCTGTGATGATTTGTTAGGGGCTGGCTACCCTGACGATACATCAAAATATGGAAGTTAACCAATATCATTAATATCATGCACAAATAAGATTTTTATAAAGGGAATTAAGAAACTTGCAGCAGTGCATTAACCTAGAGATTCAGGCTAGAGTCAGAAAAGGTTGTGGACGGAGAGGCATCCCTGATATCAGATGAATCTTGGCTGAAAGCAGAGAATAACAGAAAGATGTTTACTTGTGTTTATTAAATATGAGGAGGGATTCAAATGTGTAAATCATAACAAATTATAGATAATAGGAAGTTCCAGAACACTTCGTTATGCTTATGTAGACCAAGACGCAGTCATTCAACAGAATGAGAGGATACTGCATAGTTTAAAAATCAGGAAGATCAAAAACTTCAGTATGGAGTTCAGCTTAGCATTAACAAAACCACAGCACCCATTGTCATTGACTTGATTCAGACTCCTAAGGACTCTAAATAGCAGGAGTGGGGAATGTCTGGGGCCTAGGCCGTACGAGGCCTACAAAATCTTCAATACCCAGCTAATACCACATGCTCCACAAAAGAGAAGCAGTTCCAGCCATCGCATTAGGGGTGAGTTCATTAAATGAGCAAATATAGCAGGCCAATTGTTAAGTTAACAATTTTGTATAGCTCATGAATGATGTTATAAATATCCAAGTGACGGATAAAAAGGCTGCCTCCTGCTGTATATGGTTCCCAAGGTTTAAATCTTAACGAGAGCAGACAGCCTCGTGAAAGGAGGAGGGTGGTAGGTTTGAAATGCCGACCTGGTGGTTAACACTCTAACCCTTGCCCAACAGCACACCTCAACATAAAACAAAAATGCTCACAACTAGGCCAATAAGCAGCGTGAAAATTAGGGAGCAATTGAAATTACCAAAGATTTCATTTTACTGATATCCACAATTAATTCCCATGGAAGCATCAGTCAGGAAATAAAGTGAATTCTTGCCTTGGGCAAATGTGCTACAAAAGATTTCTTTAAAGTGCTAAAAAACAAAGATGTCATTCTCCGATTAAGGTGGCCCTAACACAAGCCATGGTATTTTCAATTGTTTCATGTGCATCTGAAAGCTGGACAACGAATAAAGGGTACCAAAAAGAATTGATGCATTTGAATTGTGGTGTTGACAAATATAACAGATGTACCATGGACTTTCAAAAGAACAAACAAATCTGTTTTAGAAGTACAACCAAAGGCTCCTTCGAAGCAAGGATTGTGAGATTTCACAAGTACATTGGATAACTAGCTGGAAGATATCCATATGTGTGCCCATTCCAAAGAAAGGTAACCCAACAGCATGTGCAAATTCCAGGATAATAATTTGGAGTGGATACTTTTGTTTTAAAGGATGTGTCTTAGTCTGGGTTCTCTGTTGTAGGTGCCATCGAGTTGGTTCCAGACCCATAACAAACTTATGAACAAGAAAACGAAACACTACCACCAGCCCTGTGCATCCTCACAGTTGTCCTATGTTTGAGCCCATTGTTGCAGCCCCCGTGTCAATCTGTCTTGTTTAGGGCCTTCCTCTTTTTCGCTGCCCCTCTACCAAACTGCCTTTTTCCAGGGACTGGTCTGTCCTTTCAACATGCCCAAAGTATGTAAGAAGTCTTGTCATCCTTGCCTCTAATGAGCACTCTGGCCTTACTTCTTCCAACACGGATAAGTTTGTCCTTTTAATGGTCCAGGGTATTTTTAATATTATTTTCAAGCACCACAATTCAAATGCATCACTTTTTCTCTGGACTTTATTCAATGTCCAACTTTCAAATGCATATGGAGCAACTGAAAATACCATGTCTTGGGTCAGGCACACCTGAGTCCTCAAAGTAACATCCTTACTTTTCAGTACTCTAAAGAGGTCTTATGCAGCAGATGTACCTAGTGCAACTCATCTTTTGATTATTTTTTAACATATATATCATATAATTCCATAGTTCAATCACGTCAAGCAGAACTGTACAATTGTTACCACAATCAGTTTCCAAACACTCTTTTTCTACATGGACTCTTTGACATTGTCTCCCCTTTACACCCACCCCCCCTCCACCACCTGTCCCTCCTCCCCCATCTTTTGATCTCTTTACTGCTGCTTCGATGAGCATTATTTTTAGATCCAAGCAAGACAAAATTGTTGACAACTTTAAACTTGTCTCCATTTATCATTGCTACTTATTGATCCAGTTGTAAGGATTTTGGTCTTCTTTACGTTGAGTTGTAATTCATACTGAAGTCCCATACTATAGGCCACTGGGTTCTCTAGAGGAACAAACCTATATATAAAAGGAATGGCTCACACAACTGTAAGGTGGCAAGTATCAACTGTGTGGATCATGTGGCAGGTTGAAGACTTCCATTGGTTCGCATGGTTGAAGAGGCTGATGAATACAACATCCGCAGGTCAGGCAGCAGGCTGGAGGTCTTTGCTAGCTCCAGGAGTTGTGGGGATTGGCAAATCCAAAATCTGTAGGTCAGGTAGCAGGCAAACTTGCATCCCAAGAATTGGAGATCAGGCAATGTGAGAAATCTTTACTGGAATGCTTATTTCTATACTAGAGGCAGGTCATATCCCCAGGGAAAATCCCCATTCTTCCAACTGATTGATCACATCTAGTCACATCATAGAAGTAACTATATTACATTATAGAAGAGCAATCATTCCAAAGTTTGTCAAACTACTGAGAATCATAGTCTAACCAAGTTGACATATAACATTAACTATCACAGTCTACAACTTGGTACCTGTATACTTGGTTTCTCAAACCATATGTAATCTCCAAATAAGGACAATTTTAAAGTCATACTTATGCTAACATAATACAATTAGCAACAATACAAATGAAAATGCACTAGAGCCATTTTATATATATTTTATATAAGCAGTAGGATAAGAGAGGGAAGGAAATACACACACACACACACACACACACACACACACACACACACACACGCCTATAATTCTCCCAACTCGCTCACTGCCTTCAAGTCAATGCTGACTTGCCCTGTCTATCTCACTGCTGGTGGTTTCGAACTGTGGACCACATGGATCACAGCCCAACACATAACCACTATACTACCTGTGTTCCTCAACATATAACAAAGCAAGGGAAAAACACTAATAATAATTAGTCTTCATTTCTGTAATTTATCACAGTCATAACTGGTGTTTAGAACTACTTCCATTATCCCTTCCATAATCAATCACCTCAGTTGGTCATGATTCTTTGCCTGGTGAGGTAACCCAAACCTTCATTCCTGAAGGGAATTACATACTGTATAAATTGGATTGTTCTTTTTTTCCATTGACCTTAATCATAGGGCAAGAACAAAAAATCCTATTAAGTGTGTGCTCACCTCCCCGATATGATCTCTGAAGCCAAATGGGTGTATAAGCAAATGTGGTGAAGAAAGCTGATGGTGGCTGTCTATCAAAATATATAGTGTCTGGGGTCTTAAAGGCTTGAAGGTAATCAAGTGGCCATCTAGCTCAGAAGCAACAAAGCCCACATGGAAGAAGCACACCAGCCTGTGTGATCGCAAGGTGTCGAAGGGATCAGGTATCAGGTATCAAAGAACAAAAAATGAAATCATTGTGAATGAGGGGGAGTGCAGATTGGGTACCCAAGACCCATCTGTAGGCAACTGGACATCCCCTTACAGAAGGGTCACGGGGAGGGGGTGAGCCAGTCAGGGTGCAGTATAACAACGATGAAACATACAACTTTCCTCTAGTTCCTAAATGCTTCCTTCCCCCCCACCCCACTATCATGATCCCAATTCCACCTTACAAATCTGGCTCGAGCAGAGGATGTACACTGGTACAGATAGGAACTGGAAACACAGGGCATCCAGGGCGGATGATCCCTTCAGGACCAGTGGTGTGAGTGGCGATGTTGGGAGGGTAGAGGGAGAGTGGTTTGGAAAGAGGGAACCGATTACAAGGAACTATATGTGACATCCTCCCTGGGGGACGGAAAACGGAGGAGTGGGTGAAGGGAGACGTTGGACAGGGCAAGATATGTCAAAATAATTTATCAATTTTCAAGGGCTCATGAGGGAGCCGGGAGCGGGGAGGGAGGGGAAAAATGAGGACCTAATGCTAGGGGCTTAAGTGGAGAGGAAATGTTTTGAGAATGATGAGGGCAATGAATGTACAAATGTGCTCTACACAATTGATGTGTGTATGGATTGTGATAAGAGTTGTATGAGCCCCTAATAAAACGATTAAAAAAAACTGGAAGAATATATATATATATATATCATATCATTCCATAGTTTAATCACATCAAGCAGAATTGTACAACTTTTACCACAGTTTCCAAGCATTCTTTTTCTACCCAGACTCCCTGACATTGTCCCCCCTTCACCCGCCTCCACCACTGAACCTCCCCAACCCCCGAAACCCTTATGCTACTTGCTGTCTCTCTAGGTTCATCAATCCTGGGTTTCACATATTGTACAATGGAAAAATATATAACACAACCTCAAGAGGGTGCCCTCCAATGTCATGACACCTCGGAGATACACCCTAATATGGACAAGCAAAAACCAAACGGAACAATAAAATAAAAAACAGAAACATTTGAAAACCACATCAAGTTAAACATGTATTGTAGGAGGGATCTACTGACACATTTTTATCTAGTCAAGTCAGATTTATGCTTTTGATCGTCTGGGCTCATCTCCCCATAGTTCTCTGTTTAGTAATCACTTTCCTCCCATCCCTCAATTGTAGATAGTTCTCCAGAGACTCATTTCCTATGTAGTTCCACAAATGAATCTTGGAATCTGTCAACTGTGGCCTTCTGTACACTGGATTCTCACAATTTAGACTCTGAAACCAGTCCCTCCTTTGACTTCAGATTATATAATTTTCCTCCTTCGGTAACTAATGATGGTGTGCTTACTTTAGTCTGAGCAGTTGAACTGCTTCGACTATTTCTGCTTTTGCACTTCTACATACTTCAGTTATGAAATGATCCTTGCGCCTTTTTCACAGTTGCCCATATTGGCCAACCACCTCCTCCATGAAGCCTCCGGAGGGCCCTGATTGCTTCAGGGCTGATATCTGTGTACAACAGGCAACCCTGGGGGAGGCAGCGCTGGGCAGGAGACTGCAGGGCCAGGACCCAGACCTTTATCAGCCCAACACGCTGCTCCTCCACCCCACTCCCACCCCCACCGCGCCCTGTGCTCTTTGAGGCTCATCCTTGCCCCGGGCATCGTATGGCCACTTGCCTGCTTGCTTCGGCAAGTCCACCAGCTTCAGCAAGGGCTCCTATGCACTCCTAGTAAGTGTGGACGGCGTGACTGCGCGTGTAAAAGCTCTCTTTGGTGACAAGCCACCTCCTCCCTGCCAACAGCGACTGCTGACGGCGCGGGGGCCCTGCTCTCACAGGTGGCGCGTGAGGGGCGCGTCCGCTCCGCTCTTGCCGCCGCAGGGGCAGCGCTGCAGTCGAAAAGCAGCAGTGGGCTTCTTTTTGCTTGTGAGGATGGGCACCCGACGCAGGCGAGGGGTGTGCATGCAGCAAGGGCACTGGGCTGTCGGGGGGATTATCGCTCGCTGCCCAGGAGGGATGCAGAGCGCAGGTCTGCAGCCTCCCGGAGAAGTCTGGTGGTGGAGTGGCCACCTGCTGGGCTGCTGCCCGCAAGGTCAGCCCTTGGAACCCGCCAGCCGCTCCGCGGGAGGAAGACGAGGCTTTCCGCGCCCCCAAAGAACGA